ATGACTAACAGTTCATCGTTATGACAGGTTTGCACTTTTGTCAATAAGAAATGCTTCAGCTGTGTTTGGAAATTTGGAAGAGTAGGGGGGGGGGGCATGGGGGCACTCCGTATTTTATATATGGGAGTTCGTTCCGTACATGGGGATCAAAGAATGAAAAGGAACGCTCGCCGTATGTTTTGAATTTTTTAAAAAGTTGGGTTTTTTGAGTTTTATGAATCAGATTGTCAGTGGCTGATGTAAGGGCTCTGGGTGGATGTTTGTCACTTTGATGGTTTTTCGGCCGTCAAACGGGATAAAAAACACAACACTTTTTCAGCTGAAGATAGATACTTTAGCTGAGCTGGTTAATTTGGGAGCACATAGACGTATCATAATCCAACTGAACCTGTAGATTTTTAAGACTTATTTTTGAACGAATGGTATGGTTATTGATGTCAAATGTGTAGTTCTGGGAGATTTCTAATCGCTTTTGTATTTCCGCTCGACATTATTTCTGTCTTGTCATCATTTAGTTTTAATTTATTGCTGGTCACCCATATTTCTAATTCCCGAATACATTGCTCAGTGGAGTCGACTAAAAGTGATATTTGATGTTGAAGTACATTTAATTTATATTTTTACTTTTTTTTTTTTATTCAGAAATTCACTTCCATCTTTATTTATTCTTTAACTCACATCAAGGAATAAATTCAATGTACTTTGTGAACTTTGAGTTTGATACCTGGCATTGTATCGTTCTTGTAAGCTCTTCAGTTTTATATGTTAATTTTAAATGTAATTTTAATTTTCATATTTTTACACTTTTGAAAATGTATGTGAATGATAATACTTTATTCTCCCAAACGGAAATGTTTTTTGGCTGTACAGGACCGTAAAAACACACGCGGCTAGAATAATATACAAAATCTATTATTATATATAACTCTCATTAAAATTCAACATGAAAAGAGAAGTAAGGCTGACAAAATGTACATATCACATCAGATGCATCATTCAACCACTTGCAGGAATTTGATTACAAGACATCTGGAGTTATATACTCGTAGATACATACTCTAAAGAGCAATATACGTTATGCTTATTCTGACAATAGCTTTATGCTAGATGGTAAAAAACTTATGTTCTATCTTTCGTTCTTTGTTTTTGGGGGTAGCCTACATATACATAACTACATATCTACCTCTGTGTGGTCTGACAACTTGCCTGGAAAAGGGGTGTGGTGGGTCGTTTATAACGCTTTTTATCTTTTTTATACGTGTGGTGTTATACATTTCTTCCATTCTAGTCAAATCATATCCAGAGATCTTGGTGGCTTTCTTAATTGTTCTATCAAATTGTTCTTTATCTTTAACCCTACAATTCCTACCCCAGCAGCAAATACAAAATATCTATTTACCTATTTATCTATATATCTATTTATCTATCTATCTATCTATCTATCTATCTATCTATCTATCTATCTATCTATCTAT